TGTGTCTGTGTGTGTGTGTGAGAGAGTGTGTGTATGTGTGTGAGAGAAAGAGTGTGCATGGGTGTGTGTGCGTGTGTGTGCACGCGTGAGTGTGCGTGTGTGTGTATGTGTATGTGTGTGTGAGTGCACGCGCGTGTGTGAGTGTGTGCGCGCGTGCGAGTGTATGTGTGTCTGTGTGTGTGTGAGTGTGTCTGTGTGTGTCTGTCTGTGTGTGAGAGAGTGTGCATGGGTGTGTGTGCACGTGTGAGTGTGTGTGCGCGCGAGTGCGCGCGTGCGAATGTGTGTGTGTGCACGTGCGAGTGTGTGAGTGTGTCTGTGTGTGTGAGAGAGTGTGCGTGTGTGTGTATGAGAGAGAGAGTGTGTATGGGTGTGTGTGCACGTGTGAGTGTGTGTGTGCAAGTGCACGAGTGTGTGTGCGAGTGCGCGAGTGTGTGTGCGAGTGCGCGAGTGTGTGTGCGAGTCTGCGAGTGTGTGTGTGCGCGAGTGCGTGCGCGCGAGTGTGTGAGTGCGCGAGTGTGAGTGCGCGAGTGTGTGTGAGTGCGCGAGTGTGAGTGCGCGAGTGTGTGCGCGAGTCCGCGAGTGTGCAAGAGTGTGTGTGTGCGAGTGAGAGAGAGAGAGACAGACAGCGGGGTGGGGGGTGGGGGAGCGTGAGGGGTCACACAGGAGCCATGTTACCGTGTGGGTGCGAGCACGGCGGGTCAGGGTGGCCACACAAAATGGCCGCCTCACCTTGTAATTCCGACAGATCGGGTTGAAAGCGTTGGTCCCGCAGGCGAGCAGCGTCCGGTCGTCGCGAGGAACCAGGACCCGGATGAAGTTGTGACACTCGTCCTGAGGGAGGATTCGGCAAAAAATAAATTCAGTCAAAACTCTCCCGTATTCTCTCCAGACAAACTCAACAAAAAAATACACTCAGGCTGCACGAGGAGCCTTAGGCCCGGATCCACGGTAGGGGGAGGGCCCTTAGCAACGGGGCCTGCGAGTAGGCCTCAGGCCTGGCTCCTGGTTTAGATCGTTGACCATTAAGCCACCCCCATCCCCCCGGAGACAGAGAGAGAGCCCCGGGACCGCTCCCACTCGGCAAATTCCGAACCCTTTCCCACCCAGAATTTCACGGCCTCTTCCGCCGTCGCACAGGGCCTCCAGCAGGGCACGTCGGGCAATGCCTGTGTCCCCGCCGTTACCGAATCCTACCCCCCACCCCCGCAAACCCCTCAAGGCTTCCCTCGACGCGCCAACGCTCCCCGCTTCATCCCGGGTGTCACTCACTCGATGCTTCCCTCGCATGGCGCAGTTCTGCATATCGCTAGCCTTGGTCCTCCACTGGACTTTCTGCAGGATGAAG